CTGTAAAAATACTGCTGAAAAAAGCCCTTGGAATTTCAGCGGGATGGAAATAAGGTCCCTATCGCCAGAATGCTGTTCCCCTTCTGGCCATTACAGAGGCAGGGGAAGGGCAAGGAGGATTCTCCCTGTGTTCTGTTTAGCACCAACAAAACCCTGCAGCTGTCCTGCCAAAAGGAACTCTTCGTGGTTTGTTCTCTTCTGAGAATCTCTGCATTCAAATAACACTTTCTTAGCAGCGAGGTGGTAGTTGCTCCTTGAAAACAAACTTCATTAAGAGTCTAGAAGCAACTTATGTCATCTATTTTATTTAGAGTGAAGAGGATGCAAATGCAATTTGCAATTGCAATTCTACAACTGCAGGTCACCTACTCTCCACGGAACAGCTCAGAGGTCTTGTACAACTAAATGTTTCAGGCTGTGACTATGATTTGCATTGCTAAAATATTGAGGGCATTAACAGTAACTTGAGGAGCAGTTCTCCAGGACTTCAGTACTGAAGGAAGACCAGCCACGGAAAACCTGAAGCCTTAATAAAAAAAGAAGTGAGACCATGCAAAAAGCTTTGCTATGGCAACCCCGTGGGCTGTGCAGAGCCGAGGGTGCTGGCACAGCCGTGGCCCCCCGCAGATCCCGCGGCCACCCTCCATCCCCACTTCCTGTCATCTGATATGGATGCGACACAAACCAGCAGCTCCCCCATTTCCCTTTCCTCCTCTCTTCCTCCTGGCACCCCCAGCGCTATTCAGACGCAGGCAAGGCTTCCTCCGAACAATGCTGTCCCGAGGAGCCCGCGCGGGGACCGGGCCACATGCGAAAGCCATTATTGCGAGGAATTCTGCCCCACTGGGACCCGGCGGGGGGCTGCAACAACAACTTGTGCACACATTGTTTTCTAGGTGAGACTCATCAAGATGGGATCCTCGACAAGCAGCACAGCGGCCCGAGGAAGTCGAACACCCGCTTATTTCACCCCCCGTGGCAAATGAATGGTTATTCAAAGGCTACGGGAAACCAGATAATAGGTGTGTGTGACCAGAGAGCTGGAAACGAAATCCCTGCCTGTCCCAAACGCTGTGAAGTCTCAGAGGGCTTTGCAAACAGGAATGGGCAGAGGAGGCACTTCTGCCCCACTTGCCACACAGAGACGTAACTAAACTACGTGTTTTTGCCCCATGGGATGGGAGCATTAAGGGGTAATGGGATCAAAGAGCTGAGCCACAGCACATCCCCTGCCCTGCTGTGCAGCTGGGGGACAAACACTGCACCAGGCAGGGCCCCCAGCGATGGTGAGGGGGATCTATGGTTTCCTTCCTCAGGACACCCAACCAGAACCAACCACCTGCTGCTCTCCTCGTGCACTGCCCTGGCAGATCCCACAGCAGGGATCACTCTGCCCTGGCAGATCCCACAGCAGGGATCACTCTGCCCTGGCAGATCCCACAGCAGGGATCACTCTGCCCTGGCAGATCCCACAGCAGGGATCACTCTGCCCTGGCAGATCCCACAGCAGGGATCACTCTGCCCTGGCAGACCCCACAGGGATTATTATTCAGCACCAGAAGTCCCATGTCACAAACAGCTGTGAGGTCCCCTGCTGCCAGCTCACCTCCTTCCAGCTGCTAAGAACACTCCCAGGAGACTCCTAATACCATCTCCTTCCACAGGCAGGCAGTCCTTTAAGGATGCTGGATAAAAGAAGTCACCCACAAACATCACCAGCAAGGAGCAATGCCCACCAGGAGACCCACCCTAACCCAGTGTACAGGGTATGTCAGCACTCCCAGTTGAGTCACAGTCATCCAATAACCCCCCAAACAACCCCCAAAACCCATCAGGTCCCAGGCTGTAATTTGTGGGCAGTCCTACATCTATAAATTCTTGTTCCTGCAGCTTGTGCTCCAACGTGTACCTTACCTTTTAACTCCCCAGCACTTGACTGCAGCTACAGTTTGCTCTTTAAATGGAAGCCTTGGATTGGTTCAAGACTTTCTGAACTCATTTCTGCTTGAGAGTGTCAAAACCACTTATTAAACTCTGCCAACAACTCAACCAACCTTACTCAGTCCTAAACAAACCCAGCACAGAAATAAAAAAGGCTACTCTCTTAAAAAACAGATAAAAGCAGCAAACGAGGAAACAGCCATTTATTTTTCAGGGGTGTGATTCAGTCACGTGAGCAGTAACCTCAGCAAGGGTAACTGAGATGAGCAGCTATGAGCAGAGATGCAAACCCTCAGCATAAAGGGCAAGATGACTTACAGAAACTTACTGACCTTATATAGGACCACACAGTTTCTCTCTACACTGACAACGTGTTAAAAGGAACCTCCTCCTCTTTTATTCACAAGGAAATGGAGATATAATACATTTTTCAGGACAGAAGAGCCGTTTTTAAAGCAAAACCAAAAGCAGGGTTATAAAGCCTGAAATAAGCAACAAGCACTGTCACTCATCACCAGGCAAACTTGAAACATTTAGGAGCCTGGAAGCACTCAAGGTTCGAGGACCCTGGGGAATCAAACCACCAAACTCACTTCAGCCAGGTGATGAAAACAGTGAATTTTGCCATATAAAACTATCACTTGTCTGGCTGAAATTCAGAGGAACAACCTGGATCACCCTGGGAAGTGAAGGGCCCAATGCACTTACACCCACTGCTCCTACCCTCACACCAAACCAGCTCCTGAATCCTTGAGGACCCAGCAAACAACACCCTCAGGAATTCCTGTATCTAATTTTACATGGTCAGTGAATGTGGACAAACCAGAGTAATGGAGCTGGGAGTGGGATAAAAATGGTAATTAATGCAGAAACCTCCCAGAGCTGAATGGCTGAACAGCACAATGCATTAATGATCCCATTTAGGGGCTATTAGGGAACTGCTCTGCTCAGATGAACCACACTCAGAATAAAACCCCAGCACCTGCACATACACAAAAAGGACCAGGAAGGAAAAGTATTCCATGACAGACACACACAATAGTTAATCAAAAATGCTTGTTTCTCAGGAGTGTGTAAACCCCAAATTGTTTTGGTTTGTGTCTTTTTTTTCTTTTTAATACAACCTACTGATTTCTCAGCACACCATCCAAATATTGGACAGCACATTACATTCCCTTAACAATTTAGCTGTTCAAATGTTGTGTTTGCTCAGGAGATAATTATCTGTAGCCTGGGGAAAACAAACTGCAGAGACACGTGTTTGGTTTGTGCAGTTACCCAGCACACCAGCCACACCACTCCCACCTCGTCACTCAGAAACTCTCCTCTGCTCAGCCCACATCCAACAAAACAAAACCAGGCCCCTGTGTGATCCAGGG